GGAATTTATATGAAAACATCATAATTAATCAGTCGCTAAAGTCATTCTTTATTTTGCTATTCTGTATTTGGTCTGCATTAATTTATGAAGAGTTCTTCATCATTTAACATTGTTTTTTTCTAAAAAAAAAAACTCTCTTTATTATCAATAAATTATAAATTGAAGAGAAATTTATTGTTTAATTATAACGCGATTAAATCGGACGCAAGTGAAATAAACGTTCGAATGTGAATGACGATTCCCCAATGAGTCGAATACTTCCAGTCCCATGAGAAATAATTAATTTTTGTAATAATTGCAATAATACGTAATACGATAAGCGAGAATATGGATGTAGGTTTACCTCCACGAAACTTTATGTGTGTATAATCAAGTTTTATAATCGAAGATAAATAATTCAAATGTATGTATGTTTAAGTGAAATTGAAATTGAAATGACATTACGTAATCAAAAATAAACAAGTAAAATTTAGCATTTGAAATTTAGCAAAAGTAGCATTTGACTTTTTAATATACAGAAATACAAGATCGATAAAAAGATGAAATCTACCTGATATCGTCGAAAAAGAAAGCACGAGGTCTCCAAGACTTTCAGACTGTCATTTTTCCGACCTGCAGAAAACAACATTCTTGAAACGAAAGACTGGTCGTGGAAATTGGATTGTCCTTCGAAAGCCCCTGGGGTGTCATGCGTAGGAACGCGGGATGATTCATTCAACACTACATCCGTGAAATGTTCTGAAACGTTCTACAACCCCGTAGAAGAGAGTAAGCTATAAATAGAAACGAAATTTCGCACGTGTTGGTAGATTTTTGCGAGGAAATTTTACGGACCGTTTAATGCACTCTCGCCATCTAAAACATTCAATGCTTTCCACTGAATTCCTATCGGAATTGTGCATATCTTATGCACTTGCTGCAACAATAAGATTTTAGATAATATTATTAAACTAGATTATATCTCTTGCTCGTATATTATGTAGCCGGAATCTAATGCGGAAGAGCCAAGATTGCAAATTATATTTGGCAATTATGAGCGTTTTGCACAGGCATAAATAATTCAACAAACACTTGGTCGAATTTGCAATTGTGTTACATTAAACGAAATGAGAGAACGTCTAGATACGAACGACACATAGAATACATGAATATTGCAAATATTTTAAATGCAACTTTTCTTGGTAAGTACATTCTAGAAATACTTCTAATTACAAATCGCTCCGACCACTCAAATTAAAAAGCGAGATAACAAAAGTAAATAAAAGTTAGCGTTTGATGGTGGATTGTTCGTTTATATGATGAACTTTTCTCGTTATTTTGTTTAGTAGAACACGCTGTTGAAGTTAGATTAAACATTTTAGGAGCACTCTGTGCACTAATCATGAATGTAGTCTCAACACTCATTCACGCAGTTACGAGAACAAGAAGTTGTTCTTTACAACAGGAGCGTTGTAAAATTTACAGAACTACGCGATACAATTGTCGCGTAAGGATTGCGTCTTTCTGTTATTCAATTACGAATTATTTTCGCGCGCATCTTTTTACAATTTTGAAGTCGCTCTTAATTCCATCGATTTAAAAAATATTACGGTTTTTCCTTTCGACATTATAGTACCTGCTGGAGCGCTTTTGTGAAAAAATTACAGCGGCGGATGCCAGGATAAACTCGCATCGTAGCACAAATGTAAAATGACATGAACATTAAATAAAGCCCAGAATAGCGACAACGTTCTGCGCGTCCTGCAAAGCTTCTTAGATAGAAGTAAATTGTAAGTCTCTTACCCGACTGGTCAACGCCATAAGCACTTTCGTTTGGTCGGCAAAAACAGCTTGGAGCGTAAGGAGATTAGAGTCGTTATGGCGTCAGCCGGGGACAAAAGTGGAGGAAGTTTCATGCGAAAGTCGCGACCCTCGTCTAACGTTTCACCATCTCTCGCGACGCAAACCGTGCAAAATGACGGAAAGCCGGCTACCGCTACAAAAGAATCACAGTCGGGATGTACTAAAGTACAAGTTGCGTAACGGTGCAGACGACGTTGAGCCCCCGCGAGAAAGGAATAATTCACGCGACGAAAATGCGAAGAAAGTCTTGCCGTGTCGCGGTGCTACGATAAAAGAATCTTCCCTATAGGATGGAAGTCAATTCGAATTTCTTTCTAGATCCAAATGAGAATCATCTTATTAAGCGCAGTGCTGATTATCGAATTTATAACAAATAACATAAAATTTGACTAAACGCCGTTTTTTATTTTTGTAACAAGATTATTCTTCGGGAGATACGCTTAGTTTCTGAAAATATTGCTAAATGCTAAGTGATTACATCAAACGTGTTATACTTACAGTGATGCGTCAGACTAGTGGTCAGAATCTGCTTATTAGCGTCCGTGTATTCAGCAGAGCTGAAAACCAAAAATAATATAATTTTAAATACCACTGACTGTAACTGATAACATGGTTAATTTACTTGAAAAAATACGTTCATATTATTGATAAAACAGCTTGCAGTCATTTCTATTCCAAGCAATTTCTGCCATTTTAACATTTATTAAATTATATACGCAAATATTTAATAATTGCGACATTCAGTATAGATAAATCTTAATTTATGTACGGTGCTCGAAGATTAATGCGGCTGTTTCTTAGAAAGCACCGCAGGAATGCTTGACTAGATATGTATGCAAAGCGACTCGCGTTTTATTTCAGATGTCTGTTTGCTTCTACACGCTACGCAGTAATCTACATAAAGATAATTTTCATATGTAATACTTTTCAACATCAAGCGACGTGTAATACTTAAAAAAAAAAAAAAGAACATGAAAAAATGCATCTACATTTTTTTATGACGTTCTATTTATTTTAAACCATATGCTGTTAAAAATAACAATGTTCAATACAAACACGTGCATCCAAGCAGCGTAGCTGATGCAAATATGAAGAAAAAATGTAATTTTATCATTTTTCATAGTTTTTATAGTATAGATCGGCATATGATAAATAATATGTCAGGCAACTCTCAAATGGGATAAATGTCTCGGATAACTCGTTCGTGCCGGTGGTGCATGTTTAATGCCGGAAGTAGCTCGACTCCCAAGCCCCGCCGTCATTCTCTCGCAGCGGTTTCCGCAAGCTCCGTAGGGTCATTAGCCAACCATTCATTATGCAACTGCGAGGCAGTATTGCGTCAATATGGGGGCGGCAGATTGTTGGCCCAATCGATAACAATGCGCCGTGTTTACCAGCCGGATAATCAACAGACGCAGCTTCTGCTGCCTCGCCTCCGAAGACCAAGCAAGTGGGAATTACGGTCCGCTTCGCTCCGAATGATATTGCGTTCCGGAAGTGTTACCTTTCCTCTCCACCCACCGGCGATCCGACGACGTCGATTGCAGCCATCTCTCTATCTCGCAAGTGCCTCTATTCAGCTAGAAGCGAGTACGATTGCGGGCTCATCGTTCCTAAATGATACACATGATCGAAAAGCCGTTCGGATTTGTAGTCTAATCGTATAGATATAGATACTCACGCGATCCAATTATTCTGATATGATTTTCCACTTTGCAATTTACACGGTTGAAATACTATGGGCCCATACTGTTGGCTTTGCAATCATGTGTGTACGTGAATAGAACGTAGTGATTTTCTAGAGGGTTGACGTTTACGTAATGTGTCCAGTCAATGCGAAATATGGCCATTCCATCAGATATTTTAATGGCTTATATAGAATCAAAAGTTGTGATGTAAAATCAGTAATGATATCAAATTGATGAATCAGTTCGTATCGAGATTGGCTGCATTAATACCCGCGTCATATCGCTGCGTACAACAAGCTATGCATTTCGATGCATTTCGCGCGTTCGTTGCACGAGCGTCTACCTCGATCGTGATCGCAGAACGATCGAGCGCGTTCAATCGCTAAACCAAGCCAAGCTCTAACGGTCAGGATGGTGGAAAAGAGGGTGCCGGAAGTACGGGCGCCGTGAGATGAAACGTTCGTCGGGTGCGATATTCCCGCGCGTCCCGAGGAGGACGCCGGTTCCCTTTGATCTAAGTTGCCGGGAATGCAAGGCGAAGGGACAGCGTGCGTAGCTGTCGCCCAGGAAGTTGGGAGTAATTTGCTTAGTTGGATTAGATTGTGAATTTTGTGTCGCGGTGTTTGAGCCGCCGTTCATCTCGTCGCGTCCTTCGTCCCCCAACCCCGTTGCCTTTTCGTTTCTCTCTCCTGAGGGCCCATCATCACCGTCATCACCACCAATCCTCGTCCTTCTCTCGTCTCGCTGTCGTCTCGCTGTCGTCAACCTCATAATTACAGCACCATCTTCAGAGACGAGCTTGCCAATTCATTGCCTGACGGAACTACGCACTTTGATCCAGCAAGAAGCGGATATTAGCCGGTAGGATAGGTCATCGAAATCCGCGACGGTGCGCAACGTTAAGCGCCATCGCTCCGGATAATGCAGACGCTTCCTGATTTCGCATGCTTTGATCTACCAGCTAGAGCCGGGTTAGGACAATCACGATCGGAACCATGCAACCGAGAATAATATTAATCGATTGTCAAACGCGGGTATGAACGAGTCATGCGGCATGTTTGTGATTATGTGGCGCAAATGAGTCCCGCATAATCTAGACTATATTTTGCAAAAATAAGAAGGAATCAGACATTTCACAGCCGATCTAATTAAGCCGTTAAAATTTTCCATTTTTTATTTTTTTAACTTATTTTGCAATTTAAATCGAGTAATTTTACATCAAATCAATTTGCTATCATTTTATTTCGATTAGATATTCAGATTATATCGTCCGCAAGTTATTTCATATGTGTTGCGCTTGACGTTACGAAATCACGATTGTCAGAGAAACATGGCTTGTCTTAATCCGCACGCTTGGGGAAGAAGGGAAGAACCTCTTTTTCAAATGATCATCACGGATTTTACCGTGATCGGTCGCTGGAAGATCGGCCCGACCCAAATACCATTAGCATCGAATTATGCGCGGAGCTTTCGTGATTCGCGTGTAGATCACGATACCAGCAGACACGTACGTGTGCTCCCGATGGGCACAACGGGTGCACGCACGCAGAGAGTCGGATATAATCCCGTCGAAACGGTGGTGTAGTATTCTGTATGCAAGCGCGTTCGGTATATCTGTGAACGGCGCGGCGCGGCGCGGCGCGGCACGGCGCGACGCGGCCCGGCTCCGCTCGGCGTGGCGCGGGGGATGCCTAACGGCATTGCGAATCCTATACAAGAGACTTCAGGCACGAATGGCGGATCAATGTTTTATCGATATTGCAGCAGACGCAGCGCTGATGTACGTCTCGAGTCGGCGATACGTATATTGCGCGTGCTTTCTGCCGTTTGCAAGAGGATTTATGGATTAGCGTTTGTTTATCGTCGCCCTTGCTACGATTTTCCCCATCGGCGACTCGTCGTTTTTTTCTGGCCTCCACAGACATAGAGAAGGGCATTAAAATGGACGATCGGAGAAAAAGTGGAGGAGACTCGTGGCTCGATACGCAGTGCAAGTTATGTCGCGATTCCTCTTCATGTCTTCCATCCTTCTTGCTTCTTTAACCGACTGTAGTATTCTTTATTTGGAAAGTTACGTTCAAAAAATGAGCGTTATTCGTTTCTACAAATCAGGACGTACCATTTATCGGTATAAACAAATAATTACACTTTTTATTTTTCTATAGAGATAAATTGCATAAAACCATGTTTGCTGTGACGAGATATGACTGGAAAGAAAATGGAACAATTTCGTGATTGTAAAATGAAAAAAAAATTCGCTTGGCGAAGAAGCAGCAGAATTTCCGTAATGGGCGAAGGAGGCACGAACGAAACATGTTAGTAGACAAAGAAGCAATGTATGTGTGGTGCCTAGCTCATGGTTGAGCCATGCATGAACGCGCGCCTAGAATCCGCGATGTCGACAGTAGGTAGAAGGTAGAAGATGCGAAGGAGTGGAACGGAGAGGGAGGACCAGAGAGGTTACCGCCGTCAGGAAACTTTTGTTTAAAATTGGAATTCCTTTGCGGCTCGTTGGGACTAGGAATGCAGATAGGGCGGAGGCGACGAAAACCATGAGTGGGCGAGACGAGGTCGCCGGTGGAACGGAAGAAATGCGGGTGGTTGAAAAAGGCGACGTACGATATTGTTTCATCATAAAGGGAAGCTCTTTGCTCGCGAGGGAAAGCTCTTAAGGAGCGACGCCGTCAAAACTTAAGCGCGTGTTGACGCAACTTCTTCCTGTGTAAACATTTTGTTATACACTGCGGATTTTCTCGGTCGGGTATTTTCGTAAATTGGCGTAACGTGCGCTGTATCGCGTATCTATCATGTACAATAAATGACATAAATGGCTGACAACTACTGATAACAACTAATAGTAGCAAACGAATCAGTAGTATAGACAGATTTTATTCAGACACTTTATCCAATCGTTAGAAAATTTAATAATCCCCATATAAATATTATTACAACTGAAATCACTTATGTCAACTTGCAAAATTTGTTGAAAGTGTTACGTAAACTTTCGTATCGTATAGTTTCAGTGAGAACGATTGAGATCTGTGACTTTGAGTAGCGCGGAATTTAAACGTCTGCGATAAGCACGTAACAATTGAACAATTATGTGTTATTTGGCCGAATACGGTAATCGTTTAATTAATTTGCAGGTATCTCACGTACGCCTGGAATCATGTTCCTGCTACGTGTACCCCTACGTGGCTAAACGCATTAACCCATAATTATCGAAATTACAGATCCGAGCGGCAGCTAATCGTGGAGTCTCCTCACCACCATCTCCCAAGATTCTCTCTCTCGGCCTACCGTGGATACTTAGGTAAGTATCCCATCTCGCTAATTATTCGAACGCAACCGCAGCTCCTACGTGATCCCGCTCCTTTCGCTCTGGCTTTGCAAATTTAAGAAAGCGAATTACGATAGTTTGATCGTTTAAAAAATTCAATCGGCAAGGAACTTTTAGTGACGAATATAATCAAGTTTACGCACAATGCGTCGACCGTAAGAATCCGAATTGCCGTTTGCGTAGAGTGAATTTTAGGAACGTCAAAAACGCGAGAGTGGCGAATATTTTCGAGAAGGGGTGGCATCTGGCGTAGAGGATGCCTTTAATTTGCAGCTAGAACGACGTCGCGAAGGGACGAAGCGGACGATGTCTCTCGTCGGAATTTCGTATCGGAATCGATCGTCCGGAACTATGAAATATCGCCATCGACGATGACGTATTTCATTTCGCCCGTCAATTTTTTTTAAAGGCAAGCATCACGGATATCGACGACCTTTCAATGGAATAACGAATCTCCCACGAGAAAAAAAAGGAAATTCCATCGCGTTGCAGTCGAGGTGTAATTGCAGATGCGGTAAATACTTATCCC